ATGAAAGCATTTGTAGCCCGTTATTTGGTGAACCAGTATGTATGGTGAGTATTGCTACACCAGAATAAATAAAATTTAAACTAAAACAAGTACAACGTTAATGAGTGAATAAAGTATAGTCATTACAATGATTAAAAAACAACCCAACCAACTGTAAAAGATTCTGCTAAAGCTCATTACATTTGAATTAATATAGTTACAATCAACCTATTGCTACGAGTCAAGTAAACTCCTAAAGTAGAAGTTAGCCCTCGCCTTCCTTTTCCTCCTCCACACAAACACGATTATTTTTTTTTGGTTTGAATAGACCACAAGTCAGAGCAACACCCAAATATGAGTGCCTATCTACAACTTCTACTACAGAGCCATTTAAAAAATAATTTAGGAATACGCTTAATCCTATATTGTGGCGCCAAAAATAGTACGATCTGACTTTTTAAGATTAAAAATAACTCTAAATGGGTAGTAGGGAGTACACATGTGGTTGAAACATTTCAGTAATATATTTAGGGACTGGCCGTAAAGGGCTTTGTATACTAACAACAATATTGTATATACTATCCGATATTCACTTGAAGCCAATTAAGAGTAATCGAAACAGCTTTAACATGGTATATTTATATATATATATATATTTTTACTTCAAAACAATCCCAAATTCCATGCCTACTGCAATTTGAATTGACATTATTTTTACCACAGCATAAACTATTAAGTATTATTCACTTCGAGAGAAACCAAATTCAATTTCTTAATTTATTGGGGCAAATACTAAATATCTCATTTCTAGGACTTAGCTTTAAATAATGCTGTAAATCCAATCTTTCAATTCACTCACTTATGCCTTTCTGCAGTTGACGTTTATTTGGTAGATATTTTCTCAGTTTCTCTGCTACCAAATATCCGAACATCAGCATATTTTGGGCAAACAATCACCTTTCTTAGGCGGTTATTGTCTCTAGCTAAAAATGCTAATTACTTAGAATGGTTCTTTGAGCACTAACAAATAGCTTACCTGCTGTTTATTAATGTTAGTTATTCAAATTTAACCAGGTGCATCGTTCTAGGTACTGTATTGGGACCCCGCACATTCCACGGTCACGGTCACGGTGTAATTTAAGAAAAATAATTACATTTATTATATATAGAAACTTTAAGCATTGTCGATGTCACCAACATCATTAGCTAATTGGTGGGACCATGTATGGAAAAAGGTTTATTACGGGAATAGTCTGTGATGTCATGGCAATTTACCTCTGCCGCCTTGTAAATACGATGCGACGTCGCGGTTTTTTCTTGCAATCCTTAGGATTAATTAGTAACAAATTGTTTCGCAGATAAGCAGAACCAAGCAGAATGGTGATGTAGTTGGGTTCTCTCGTAGCTGCAGCGACGAAACTATGTGTGGCATATTTGAAGGCTGTTTTTCTATTGAAGGTTAGTAATATTTTTGATCATAGTAGCAGATGCAAACTCCTATAAACGTCTACATTTATGAAGTTACTAAAGTGTTAACAATATAGTATCAGAGGTACATTACTTGGAGTTTGCAACTAAGCTGACATGATACCAAGATCCTGTTACAATCTCGCTTTCGCATAAGCGTTTCAACTCAGAAAAATACGAATGCGCATGTCCGAGGTAATTAGGATACTGGGATGTCCAGGTGGATCAAAATAGCTGCTCACAATATGACGGACTACGATAACTATATTTTCTGTACATTTTCGATGTATTACATTTTTTCACTATGAATGTGGTAATACATGTTTTATTGTTTTA